TTGATGTTGGGTCACACTTTTGCACTACAATGACTGGTATTACCAATTAGACCCCATATCTTAATATCGTTGCATTTACTTTGAACAGGTCATCAATTGTACATTAACTGTGGCCATGATTATGTGTGGATGCATATTATGATGATAATTCTTGGGGTTATAATTTCAGTGATTACTTGCTCTATTCTTCATAGAAAAGATTGTTTTTGCCAGTGCTTTTCTCATTGCTTTTTTAAGATATTGTTTCATCTTGCTATTCTAGGGATCTTAAGTGTCCTTAAGCTGGATACATTGGTGGCTCCAGCAAAGACAGAATCTTGCAATAACTACATGTCACTTTTTCTGATAATTGTGCAGGTCATAGCCTCTGCTTTAAACATTAAGTATTTTTATGATAAGAAAAAAAGATTTTAAAGATGAATTTATCAAATGTGTGGGTGTTGCTGCTGACTATGCATATGCAGTAGTTAAACTAGTTATACTAGCCTAATAGGTCACATGCACATGTGCTGGTAGGTGTGACATGGTCTGATGTGCGCAGTGTGTGCAGTCATTTCTAACCCCTTACCTATCCAGTCTGTAACTCTAACTCAGTCCCGGTTTTAAAAGGAGGAGAGAGGATGAGTGATGATGATGGTAGGAGTCCAGAGGAGCAGCCGCTACTGAGGGTTGATGGTGGTAGGGGCAGGAGAATGAAAGACAGCAAGTGTGGTCGCTGTGTTAGCTCCCGTGCCTGCTGTGGCTTTCTCTGCTGTATTATGATACTCACCGCCATTATTGCTGCTGTGCTAGCTGTTCTTATATCCTATGGTATCATTGATAAAGAAGTTGATAAGTTTATTGCTAAAGTAAGAGAATAACAAGCAAAGGTTTCTTAGTATTATTTTTTATTATAACAGCAAGTATCGTTAACAAAAGGTTCAGCAGCTACAGACCAATGGTCTAAACCTGGTGCTGCTGTCTACATGTCCTTCTACATGTTTAACTTAACCAACAAAGATGAGTTTTTAAATGGAGAGAAAGCAACTATTGAAGAAATAGGACCATTTGTATACAAGTAAGAGAGAGAGGGTCGCACCCCTAGTGCTAGTGCTAGTGTGTCAGTTGATAGTGTTATTGTGTTGATTAGTGTCACATGATTGACATGAGCTCAGCAGTAGCCCAGCCCTGGAGTGCATAACATTACATAACACCACAACAATAGGTCCAGTAGCACAATACAATGATATAGACCACAACAATAGGTCCAGTAGTGCAATACAATGATATAGACCACAACAATAGGTCCAGTATACTCCAGTAGTACAATACAATCATATGATTATAGTGCAGCAGTAGTAAAGTATAAAGTGTTTGAGTTTATTGTAGTACACATCAGTGACACACTAGCTCGGCCTGTGACAATAATATAATATTAATGATGATGATAATGATGGTATTAATATGATAGTAATGTTGTTCTTTTTGTTATTTTAGTGAGTCAAAGACGAAGTATAATTTGAGATGGAACAGTGATGAGACCATTTTGGAATATTTTGAAAATACCTCGTATATTTTTAACAAAGAGAAATCAAACGGACTTGATCCAAGTCATGTTAACATTACCACTATTAACCTGCCACTTATTGTAAGGAGGGGGTGGGTGGGTTAGTAGGTGTGGTTTATCTGTATCT